GATAGTTACATTATTTGCTCAATACAAAAGGAGTAGTTTTTGGGCCAGGGTGATAGCTCAGTGGCATTAACAGCTGCCTGGCAAAAACAAGGTCCTGAGTTCAATCACAGGTACCACAAAAGCAACAACAACCAAAAAATTAACATAAGCAAAAGGAGTATTTTTCTTACAATCTCCCATGTATTGAAATTTTTATTGAAACAGTATAGAGATAAACCCTTTAATATATGTAAGAGAGAATTTAAAAATCTAATCCTAAGCAATTTTATGCCATTTTTGTAGAACATAGATTTTGTGACTTTTAAATAATTGGAGATTTTATTTTCAGAATCAAGTCTATCGAGAGATTAAGTTCACTGTCCAGTCAATGCCATGGATCAGTATTCCCACTGTCGCCTTGTTCCTGCTAGAGGTGAAAGGTTACAGCAAATTGTATGACAACATAGAGTTTCCACATGGTAAGTAAAGAAGACTGGTCAGGAGACTGGCCTAAACTGGACTGATTTCTTTATAGAAATAACTTCACTCTTTTTTTCTTTCTCTTAAATTGTTCAGTTGTTTTTAACCTTCTGCTTTCATATCGTGCCACATCTGTGTATGTCTTTCGTTTTAGCTATCAATTTGAAAGTCTGTTACAGATGAAATTGGGCCTGGGAGAAAATTAAATGATCAGACAGGGCTGTTTCCTATTGTTTTTATTCAATTCAAACTAATGAAAAAGTGAGTAAGTAGCACATGAATGTTTCTGAAAATCAGAAAATGCAGGTTTATAAGAAACCATAGTCTTTTGTCACATTATCTTCCAACTTTTCTGTGCCTGTCTACTTTGTTAGATTGTAAAGTGAAATTGTACTGTGCGTACTGATTTGCACCCAGCTTTTTTCACTTCAAATATGAATGTAATTTTATATCAATAATTGTTGACATAGTTTATTAGCTACAGTGTCTTTTGTTTTTTAGGACAGAGTCTACAAGGTCTCACCACACAGATCAGACTCATAGTGATCCTCCTGTTTTCAGCCTCCCAAGTGCTGAGATTACAGGCACATGACTCTGCACCCAGTCTTATTCGCCATCTCAGTGCACCCTGGGGGCAGGGCTCGGGATCAAACCAAGGCCGCTGCGCTCTGCATAAGCATGCGCTTTAGTCCGTTGGGCTATCTGGCCGGCCCATACAGTGTCTTATTGTGTACATATCTATAGTTTATTTATTGAGCCCTAATTATTAGAACTTTCGATATTTATATTTGTTTCTGTTGTAAACAGTTTTTAAATTTTTAAAAATTTTTTATGTATTTGGTGCAGAGTCACTACACAGCTTGAACTGGTAGTGATCCTCTGGTTTTCAGCCTCCCTAGCACTGGGATTATAGGCATGTGTCACCATGCCCATCGGTGGCCCAGTGTGCCCTGTGTTGGGGCTGGCGAGGCATGTGATGCTGATGCTGGGGCTTGAGCCCCTGTCCCTGTGCTTGCCTAACCAGGCACTTAGTCCACTGAGCTATCTCGCCAGCCCTTGTTGTAAACAGTCTTATGCTAGTTAAACTTTTGTAAAATTCTGCAATTATTTCCTCAAGACTTTTTTAGTATTTAGACTAGAGAAAATAAGAATAGCAGTTAACATTTACTGAGTATTAAAATGTCCTAGCAACAGTCCTGAGCTTTTCACATGCCTCAATCCATTTTTTCTGCAACAGTTCTATAAGGTGGCAGCTCTTACTATGCTCCTTTTATGGGGGAGTAGATTAGGTATACAGAGAATCTTAGAAACTTGTTTGTATCACACAGCAAATGGATGGTGAACAAAGGGACAAAAGTTAAGAGTGTCGGCTTTTCAGGAGGACATTGAGTAAACTCACCTGGTTAGAGCAGAAGTATGGGAATGAGGAGGGTAGGTCAGAAATGATCAGAGTATGAGTTAATGCTAGGAAGGTATTTAGTAGAAAATAAGAGTTCTAAGAAGATCCTATTGTTCAGATGATTTTTAGGAAGGTTAGCATGAAGGAAAATGATGAGGTAGCATTCTGAGGGATTTAATTATCAGTACAGATATCTCAGGAATGCCCTTTTCTGTCTCATATGTATCTTTATGATTTAATAAGAAATGGATTGCTTGTTCATATATAATTTTTTTTGGTTTTGTGAATCAGTTAAAAATAATGTAAAAAAATAATCAGTGTTGGCCATCTCAGGTTATTATAAGAAGAAAAATAAGGAAATGACCAGATTTCATGGAATGAGGAGAAATTAACTTATAATGTATTGAGTTAGCCAAAACGGTTTATATGGTTTGGCCCTAGGATTCCATTTCGCATGGACATATATAAAGTGAACTCTAATCTGAGCAGCCGATTCTTGATTCTCCTGTCCCCTGTTGTCTCTTCTAGGCTGGTTTCACCTCATTGTTAGCATAATATCCTTCCTCTTTTTCACGGACATGCTGATCTACTGGATTCACAGAGGCCTTCATCATAAACTTATATACAAGGTAGAGTCATTAGAAGGGAAAACAAAAAATATTACTCATTTCAGTAATGTCTCATTATAAATTTTATTCTCTTTCCCAAGAATTTCCTCTATTAAATGTTTAAGTAGACAGAGTCATCGCAGGTACTGGATACCTTTGGTTCATAGTCTTCTTTATGGATCTAGGGGTGATGCTAAAATTTCACTTGTGGGTTAAAGGAGGAGGCGCATTTATAAAGTAATTTCGCTGATTTCAGAGGGATCTTTCAGTTAGGTCATCTCCATCAGTTGAGCATAAAAGATGAAGTTGACTGTTGCACTGGCTAAAGTTCATGGTGCTAATTATATCTCTTTCTTCTTTAGCATGTACATAAACCTCATCATATATGGAAGATTCCTACTCCATTTGCAAGTCATGCGTTTCACCCTTTGGATGGCTTTCTTCAGAGTCTACCTTACCATATATACCCTTTTATTTTTCCATTACACAAGTTGGTTTACTTAGGTTTGTACATCGCTGTTAATGTCTGGACAATTTCCATTCATGATGGTGATTTTCGTGTCCCCCAGATCCTCAGGCCCTTTATCAATGGCTCAGCACATCACACAGACCACCACCTGTTCTTTGACTATAACTATGGGCAGTATTTCACCTTGTGGGATAGAATTGGAGGCTCATTCAAAAATCCCTCCGCCTTTGAGGGGAAGGGGCCACTTAGTTATGTGAAGAGTGTGACAGAAGAAAAGTGCAGTAACCCATCAAATGATTATAAAAATGAAAAATTCCACAATGGCGTGCTCACAAAGATAGAGTAGGTTATCGCCCAAATGTTAGTACTTGTAATAAGGAGAAATAGTTGATACCCAGTGAAGACACATGGCAAGCAGATGGCATCGTTTGAAAGTCAGCATTGTGCACACTGCTGAGGAGCGTCCATTATGGTGGATCAGAAGAAGATGCTGCAAACACCAAGATTCTCATACCATGTTTCAAGTACTGAGTGTTGGTCCAAGGACAATTTGTATCTTTTCAACCAGCAAATCTTGTTTTTATAGCCTCAACAGTTTTAAAGAAAGAATAAACTAGGGAGGGGACCTGGCTATTTACACTTTTGCCTTAATCCATATTCAGCAAGAAAAATTCATTGTATTCAGTAATACCAAGACTTAAAGTACTATAACCAAGAAATACTAATGTGAAGATGGTTCCTTGTTAGAGGAATGGTTAATTTTTCAGTATTAGTGTGATAATGACTATTGTAGTATTTTGCGCAAGGAGAAACATCAGTTTGAAAAGTCTGATGTATTAGTGGTTATACCAGTGACAGTAGCAGGTGTAAGATTATTGTTTTCCGATAAAAGCCTCATTTTATGGGGATATCGTCCAATTTTCCATCTCACTAATGAATAAATTGGAATTTTAAAGACATAATCAGTTCTACCATGATTTAAATCAGATATCAGATTTTTTAACTGAAGATATTGATGGTTACCCTTTGAAACTATTTAATAAGCATAGATGTTAGGAGACAGTATAGTTAGGGGAATTTGATGTTCAAATAATATATTTGGCACTGCTGACTTTTTAAATAAATCAATGCACTGCACTTTTGATACTTTTGAAAGTTACAAACCTGTCTCATAACAGGAAATAATTGCCAAATGTTTAGGTCTATCTTTGAAAATGTGTGCATAAATCTCATGCTCTTTCTCTGTCATTGATTTCTCACATTGTCTTTTCAAAATAGTTGAATACTTTCACTAAAAGCTTGTATGTTGTAATATAAATGCATTGGAAAAACAATTTTAAAGATACTCTTGCTATTTATGTAAAATCAATAAAAGTTGATCATACTGTTATTAAACTGCATCAGTTAAATATTGTAATAGTACAAAATATTTGTTGCACAAATTGATGTAAATTTGAAACCAGGGATGATGTGAATTGTTGAAACTTTTTAGAACCTTCCCGCATGCCCGCTGTTTAGCAGAGGAAAAGAGAAGAGGATTATTAAATTCTTCTTATATCTCACATCTTTGTAGATTTATGGTTAGGTTCAATGTTGACCTTATGGGGAAATTGGATTCTGTTCTCATCCAGTTTGATTTGGGACCAGAATTGTGGAGAGAATTGAGTTTGTGAACCAGGGTGCTCTGTATTTTAGCAGGAAAGTAGTCATGAATTTAATCCCCGGAATCCAGCAGAAACTGTTCTTTTTTAAAATGTTGAATTCAGTGTACCTTTTTTTAAAACAGGTAAACAGCAGCTGAGTACTTTTCACTAATCCCACCCAGCCTAATGTTCCACTTTGCCTACGAGAAAGAGGAAAATTAAAGAGAAGTCAATTTGTTTCTTAGCAATAATGACAGCTAATGGGTGTGGAGATTTTCTTGTTTACTAGGCATTGGCTGAGTCTTTGACATGAAGAAACTAGGACTCAAAGTAGTTAACTTGCAGGGTTTATTTCACAGAAACTCATGCATACTTCTGCTCAGTAGGCAGGTTTCCACATGGACATTCTGCAACCCGAGCTCTATCTTGTGGCTCTTCCTTTGTTTTGGTTAAGAACCTAATGTGTCATAGTACAAGATGCAGACATGGTATCTTGTCTAAACACTATTAGTTCAAAATTAAAAAGATTTCCAAAAGCTACAACTTGTTGCATAGGTCTTGCTTTATCTTGGTCTTAACCATCCAGCAGAAAAGTATAAAAACAAAGTGTAAGAACTAAAGCCATCGTGTTATGTTGAGCTGTAGGGGACTCAGGTCAACAATTTCTGACACTGCCAGTGAAGTGGAAGACCCAGTACTATTATGGACTACTGGACTCTTAGAATATTTTTCTGAGTTAACACACCTATAATACTCAAATGATGGAACTAAACAAAAAGGGGATACAGATGAATGTCCATTTTGTATCTGTATTCAAAATAGGATAGATAGATTCTCTTAATGAATAGAGGGATTTGTTCTAATAGTGTTTGTAAATAGGATATCATGTCTGTATCTTGTACAGCAGATAACCACTAGGAAGAATGTGCAGTGTGTTAATTATTGAAACTGTCCTACCAAAAAAAATTAAAAATATATCATGGAAATAATAACATCAATAATGTAACTAAAGTTTCACAATATTCCTCACTATAAACATACTGAGTAGTAAATATTTAACAAGCAAAAAACAAAACCCTAATATGTCAAAGGGTCGTGGGGAAAGAAGGAAACATCTCTATGGAGAGTTTCTTTGGGGTTAGAAGTGGTGTTTTTGCATTTCTTGGATAAAACTGTCACGGTCTGCTGCACTGGAAGATTTCATCCCTAGCTGTGTCTGGCTATGTATCTGGGTGAGGAGGAAGCCAGTTTCTTGAGCAGATAACAAACTTTATCACATTCATGTCTTTTATTGCCCTCTTCATGTGGTGAATGGAAGAAATAAAGATTTGGAATAATAAATGAGCTCAAAAATATTAGCAGTTCTGTCTATATTAGTTGTCTTGGTGTGCTTAATTCCATGACATATCAATGTGAAAATAACCTCTATAGATTTTATTCCTGTCTGATACAAAGGAAAGGACATACATTTTGAGAAGGAAAAATTTTAAAGTGTTAATGGTCAAATCTCTGCCCTTTCACCCTTCTTAAGTTCTGGTCATTTTAAGCTGAATTGTGTTGAAGAACTCTTTATCTTTGTTTAGTGCTTCATCATATCCTATCTCTATTAGAGGAATTTAGAATGTTCAGTGAAGTGATGTAAATTCTTCCTCTAGGAATGTTAATTGAAAAACTTTTCCCTTTGACTCTGAAATCTTTTATTAACAGATCAGAAGGAGAAAATGAAAGTTATGTTGTGTTTTTACTTTTCTGGTAGAAACTGGGAGGTAGATGGAGATGATTGGGAGCACATTTCAGAAACTGCCTGAGATTTACTGTCTTTATTGTCCTCCCTGTCTCAATTCTGAATGTTAGAAATCTATTTTTCCCTTTCTTTTGCTTCCTATCTTCTACAATCCAGGAACAATTTGAGAGAGAATTGTAAGTTCAGTTTTTAATGTGTGCTATTTATAGACAGTTATTTTATAGAGAAATGATATCTGGGAGAGAACACCAGAGAGTTGGGATTAATTTAGGTAGGAAAAAAATGTGAAGTCAAGCATTTGCCATGCAGAGCCAGAATGAAGCTATCCAGTGAAGCTAAACAACTTGATGGAGTCTGTAGTCTAAATGTGCTCACTGAAATTCATGCATTCAAACCAAATCGTCAATATGACAGTGTTAAGAGGTAGGACCACTAGGAGTAATTAAGACACTGCCTCCAGTCTCATGAATGGGATGAAAGGCATAAGGGAGCTTTTTGTGTTTTAATTCCTTCCATGTCAAGTCAAAAGAAGAGTGAAAAGCCTCAGCATTTGTTCCCTCCAGAGGGTGCAGCACCAAGCCACCATTGTGGAAACTTTGAGTCCGCTGGGCACCACACTCTGGCACCTTCATCTTGGACTTCCCAGCCTCTACTGTTTAGGAAATTTCTGTTTGTAAATGACCCAATGGAAGGCAACAAGAAATTACTAAGGGGAAAGAGCTTTCTTTCCTTGTGTTTATAACTGAAGACTTGAAAAACTTGACTGACAGTATTTCAGCAATACCTGCATTTGATCAATTTTTGTTGTTATGTGCACTGTATTTACTTCTAGACCCTGAAAATAGAAATCCTCATTGCGTCAATCCAAGCATTCTTATAAAATGCCTGAGACGTAACAGCTTCAATAAATGTTTTGCTGAATGTATTATATGAAATGGTGAAAATGTCATTTCTCTTCAGTGCATATTTAATGAATCCCAGACAGGTATCAAGCTCTGCAATAGGTACAAACATTTAATCTGTTCTGATGCTCTCTTTTTACCCACTAAATTGCTTTTCTTAAACCCTTCATTTCTTTGACATTTGTGAGTGCCTTGGGGAAGTCAAAAGAAGAGTGAAGGATTGTACCAATTTGAAGACATTTTTCCTTCAGTCAAACAATAGCCCTGATTTTGACTACATCCAAATCTGTAATGGATTACTGATTGGGGAGTCAGTGAATCTGTCTGCCTATCTCTTACCACAGTGTTCCGGATGTGAAAGGATCCTCGGAGAAAAGGGTTGATTACGCCCAGAAAAGGCAGATACTCAAGAGTTAGAGAGCTTTGGACTCAAATGGCCAAGTATAAGTCCTGGCTCTAACACTCATAGATTCCAGGGCCTTGATTTCTCCTTCTGTAAATGAACAAAACCACTAACAAAGTTAAGTTAGAAACACACAAGTGTTCACTGAGGTATTATATGTGTAAATTGTTCCTTGTGCTTTTCCTTTCTAGGCTCTGATTTTATTATACCTTGGATAGGATGTCAGGAGAAGTTGTAGGGAGAAAGAGCAATGCCTAGATACACCTTAAAACTGGAAGATAGCTTTTCCATGCTCCCTGGCAGGGTCCATATGGCATTGTTCTTGATTTCCCATCGTAACTTAAAGGGAAACTTCACAATGTCCGGAGCCCTTGATGTCCTGCAAATGAAGGAGGAGGACGTCCTCAAGTTCCTTGCTGCAGGAACCCACTTAAGTGGCATTTCCAGATGGAGCAGTATATCTATAAAAGGAAAAGTGATGGAATCTACATCATAAATCTAAAGTGGACTTGGGAGAAGCTCCTCCTGGCAGCTCGAGCTATAGTGGCCATTGAAAACCTTGTTGATGTCAGCGTCATATCCTCCAGGAGCACTGGCCAGCGGGCTGTGCTGAAGTTTGCTGCTGTCACTGGAGCTACTCCTATCGCTGGCCGCTTGACTTCCGGAACCTTCACTAACCAGATCCAGGCAGCCTTCCAGAGCTACGTCTTCGGGTGGTTACTGACCCCAGGGCTAAGCACCAGCCCCCAATGGAGGCATCTTATGTCAATCTGCCAACCATTGCTCTGTGCAACACAGATTCTCCTCTGCACTATGTGGACATTGCCATCCCGTGCAACAATAAGGGAGCTCACTCTGTGGGTCTGATGTGGTGGGTGCTGGCCTGGGAAGTGCTGCGCATGTGTGGCACCATCTCCCGTGAACACCTGTGGGAAGTCATGCCTGATCTCTACTTCTACCGGGATCCTGAAGAGATTGAAAAAGTAGAGCAGGCTGCTGCTGAAAAGGCTGTGACCAAGGAGGAATTTCAGGAAGTATGGACCGCACCAGCTCCAGAGTTCACTGCTGCTCAGCCTGAGGCTGCAGACTGGTCCAACGGTATGCAGGTGCCCTCTGTGCCCATTCAGCAGTTTCCTACTGAAGACTGAAGTGTTCATCCGGCCACAGAAGATTGGTCTGCAGCCCCCACCACGCAGGCCACTGAGTGGGCAGGAACCACCACCGAGTGGTCTTGAGCTGTCCTACCAACGCTTAAGCAAAATGGGAATGAGGCTAATGAAAAATAAAACAATTTCTAAGGAAAAAAAACTGGAAGATTAAAAACTTTAGAATGAACTGTAGGTGGGGGTTACAGAGGAAATCATGTAAGTAAAATTTTAAAATGATAGAGTATGTACTGTAAATTACCTTTATAAGAGGTAAATTAGATTATTGTTATCTAATATTCTAAAAAATTGCTATATATCATAATGCTAGCCTACAAAATTTGATGATAAAGTAGAAGTAGCTTCCCTAAAGAAATTTCCATATGCAAGAAGAAAGTGTAAACCATTTGTCAGCTTTACTACTGAGGTAGGTGTTTCATATACAAAGAAAAACATAAATACTTCCTTCAATAAATACAGTTTTTCTGGGATTATGGGTGCACCTTGGTGTGATCCTTACTATTGCATGTGTGTGCGTGTGTGTGTGTGTGTG